CCCCAAAACCCCAAAACCCCTCGAATTCAAATATTCAATTTATAAGATTTAGAAAATTATATAAAATTAGATTTTGATCAATATCTTTTGAATTTCTTATTATTTGTTGTTTATTTTTCAATTTTCTTCAAATTCTATCCAATCTTCTATTTCCCTAACTAGACTTTACTCCAATCATTTTTATCCTATTATAATTATTTCTATTGATTTATGTTGCAATTTTTCTAAACTTATTATTATTCCTCTGGATTATTCAACTTATTTTACTATTAATCTTCCCAGTCCTCTTCAATATCTTCCTCTTCCTCGTTTTCATGAAAATTCATATTTGTATCCTAATATAAATCCTCGAATTCTTCTCTATCATCCTCAATTTCCTCCTCACCATTATCATTTATCAGATTATTACTCTAAAATCTCTCATAAAATGGCTCACATTCACTTTATATCTCATTGAATCTTTCCTCTAAATCATCTTAACTCTCTTCAAATTATTAATTCAATGTCTATTCCTAATTTGCTGTAATCTAATGTTAATTTTCATTGTTACTCTTATCCTATTAATTTGAATGTGATGAGTCTGTTTGTTTTTATTCTTGATCTTATTTTTCAGGCTTTTTTAAGAAAAAGTTTTTAATATCTTATTGGCCAATCAGCTTTTTATATCTCTCTTCTTTTTCTTTTTTACGCTCATGATAGAGCATTGCACTTAGGGTTGGCTAAAGTTATTATTACTAGCTGGATATTCCACTGCCAATCTAAGATGCCAATATACTTTCGACTGCTGTTAGACAACCCTTTTTCCGACCTTTCCCCATAAAAAACTTTAAATTTTTAGTATCAGTTAATAGTGGACCTGTAGGATCTTTCTCATTTCTGTGTCTCAAATTATTAAGCTTGAGCATCATCATTCTGCAAGGCTCTAGAGGCCAAACTGCATTTAATAATTCATCAGCATATTTCATGATGTCATCTCTATTTTTAAACGAATTTCTCAGTTTTAAACTCAATTGATAATGTTCTGGCTAATACTTTCATTTCCTCGCATTTTTCTGCCAAGGAAACAGCTAATCGTTCCATTTTCTCTCTAAATTATTCAAATCGAGATATAACTTTGAAAGATTTTGAAAAACTAATTGATCTCTTTGCCAACATTCCAGTATCATCTTCATGAGTGCATCTTGATATTCCCATTGCTGCTTTGACCAGAAACTCAAAAGCGTTTTCAGTGAAATTAATGTAAATATCAGCAGCCTTGCTTAGGATATCTTCACAAGTGTTGACATCTAATCCTATCAAAATTTATTCATGAACCTTTCCAATACCAGGAACATCTCTTACTTTTTTGGGACTCATAAACTATTCTATTTTCTCGCAATCAAATGAAAGGTATGATTAACCATCTGGTTTATTTAATTCTGAACATATTTTAGCGAGCATTTTGTTACAAGCGATCCCAACACTAGATGTCATTTTCATTTTATCAGATATTTATTTCCTAATTTTATCAGCAGCCCAAATTCTTCCCTCAGCACAATCCATACCATTCCTTTATAAATATTCTGTGATATCTAAATTTGCCTCATCTAAGCCTACACTTTCGAGTTTTTCATCATATTCCCTTAATATTGCTTTAAATTCAGTATCTGAAACTCTTTTGTACTTTTCCTTATCTGGTTTGATAAAAACCAAAGATTAGCATAGTTTTTTGCCCATAAATCCAGGCATAGCTGATCTGACTCCAAATTTTCTAGCAACATAATTAGTAGTTTAGATCATTGAATAATCTCCTACAGCAACAGGTTTATCTTTAAGTTCGGGTTTTTCTCTTATTTCTACAGCAGCATAAAACATATCCATATCGACATGAAGCCAAGTACGTGTCAAATCTCTTTCTTTTCGATAAAGCTCAAGTCTTCTTTTTACCTCTATCTGAGTTTTCTCCCATAATTTTAGATTTTATCTATACTATTCTATCTTCTTCCTATAAGCAGTTATCTTTACCTCGACATCTTTAATTTTTTCCTCTTAAGTGATATAGTATTGCTTATTAGTGATACTAGATCTTAATATTTAATCAACTTTGTCGCCATTAATATTTTCCATACCAGCCTTTGCTATTCCAAAATTAAAGGCATGCATTCTATTAAATCCTTCTCCCTTTGCTGACTCTGGGTCATCATCCTCCTCTATTTATTGCTACATTTTTTACCTCTAAGCAAAATTTTTATAATTTGTTGCTCTATGGTTAACTGCAAATTTGTTATAATTCTAAGCTTATCTATCCTCTTCAAATTCTGGAACATTTGGCCCAACTCCATATTCATAATCATCCTCTTAACCGTAATCATTGTCCCCGTACTCATACTAGCCATTTTTATCTTATTTAGGTGGAGGGATAGCTTTCTAAGGAATAAATTTCTTTTTAAAATTTTAAGGCTTTGGTAAGGACTTTGTAGTAATAGAGTTGCTTTAGTTAAAGTCTATTGTTTGATAAGGACCATCAAATCCGAATCCATACTTATCTTTTGAGCAAGAGCTATTGCTAACACTATTTTTAGTGTTTTTTTAATTTTCTTCTTCTTGCTATTATTTTATTTATTTCTATTTCTTAGCGTACTGCTACTTACTCAGTTTTTAAGGTTTACTAAGCGATATTGGCTAATTTAAATTCATTAAAAGCTCATTATTTATTGGAGGGGGAGCACGATTTTTCAAATTAGGGTTCTCAGGTTCTAAGTTTAAGCAGGCAGGCTTACGACCTCTTTTTTTCATTAAAAATTTTAAGGCAACACTATGAATATACTTTCTTCTAGATTCTAAGGCTAAATTTTAAGATTCAATATTTAAATCACTGAAATATCTAAACTCAACTTAAATTTTGAGATTTAATTTTATTAGAGTACTCTCCAATGGGGTTTTGGGGTTTTGGGG